AAGTGACCACGAAGGGGTGCGAAGCCTCAACTTGACGGGATAATCTCGCGGGGACTGCCAATGGAGGAACAATTGTTGATATTTCAGAAGAGCATCGTCCATGAAATCATCTATAAAATAGGGCCAGATCGCCAACTTGCCAATGTGTTCCAGAGCCTCGCTGTCCGTTGGATAAACAAGTCTTTGGAAAGAGATGTTCTGTAGGTCTCCAAAGTGACCACGAAGGGGTGCGAAGCCTCAACTTGACGGGATAATCTCGCGGGGACTGCCAATGGAGGTACAATTGTTGATATTTCAGAAGAGCATCGTCCATGAAAATATCTATGAAATAGAGCCAGATTGCCAAATTTTCTACGGTGTTCCAGAGAAGTGAGTGAGTTTGTGAGCAAGGCATCACCCACGAGACGAATTGCCCTTTTTTGGACAGAATCCAACAGTTTCAGGGCATGTTTGGGTGCTGCACTCCAAATATGGGAACAGTATAAGCAGCTGACTGGAAGTGAAATAGCTCCTGGCCCGAAACAGAGAACCAAGTTTTTGGGATGCACTTTTAGCAATTGATCTCATGTGATTTTCCCAAGAAAGGTTATTGCTGATAGTAATACCAAGCATCAAAATGAATGTCTTCAAAGGTATGGTTACTTCTGACAAGCTTATGTTGAGGACAGTGAGATCGGCTTTTCTAGAGAAAAGGCATGCTTGTGATTTGTTTGCATTGAAATCTACCAAGTTATTGGATCCCCATTCGAGAATTGTTGCCAAGTCCATATTTATGTTGTCAACATTTTTTCTCCATCGTTCGTTTCTGATTTTGATATTGAAGACCTGGAAGAGAAGGCGCGAAGCTGTGTACTGGACATGAAGTTGCTTTCAACAAATCGTTGATATGGAGTAGAAATAGCGTTGGTGCTAGAATTGATCCTTGCGGAACACCAGCATTTATGATAAGAGAGTCAGATGAAACTCCGTCGACCACTACATGGAGAGACCTGTTTGAGAGAAAACTAGCTAGCAGAGAACATAGCTGGGGAGGCAAGCCATAAAATGGAAGCTTGGCGAGCAGTCCGTGGTGCCAGACTCGATCGAATGCCTTGGAGATATCAAGTGCTAAGGTTTCACCATATTTTTCAGTAGATTGCTGCCATATATGTGAAACGTAAGCGAGCAGGTCACCAGTAGATCTCTGATGACGGAAGCCATATTGCCTATCGTTGATAATACCTGAATGTTCCAGGTATTTCATGAACTCGATGTTGATAGCTTCCTCCATGATCTTTGAAATAATAGATAGCAGTGCGATCGGTCTGTAAAATGATAGATAGCAGTGCGATCGGTCTGTAATAATAGATAGCAGTGCGATCGGTCTGTATTGCTAGTGATGGAATTATAGCAGAGATTTCTGAGGAACATTTCCCGTGGACGTATCTATAGAAAAGTGAAAGGTCGCCGGCTTTTCTACGGTGTTCTAATGAGGACAAAGTGTTGGTGAGTGTGGCATCACTCACCAGGCTCTTCTTTGGATGGAATCTAAGAGCATCAGCGGGAAAAGTCGATGTCACATTAGCAACAACTTCGCGAGAGAATTTTCCGCAATGGGATTGGCCGTTACTTGGCGGTATTGCTCACCAAGGTAGTTTCGCACGGTAAGCGTTTTTGCAAGTTTAACAGGAACTAAAGTCTATGAACTCCGCTGATCTGATCGAAACTACTCTATACTGGATGTTTCAATTTGGAAAAGTTGATTCATGATTAAAGATCTTGAAATGAACGGGAGTTTGAGTGATGTTATACCATTGGCATTTGTACTTCTTGACAATATAATATACAGGGTGTTTGGTGCATCGTGTGCCAAATTGAAATGGTCGAATGAAGGGGTCATCTGCTATCCTTCAAGACTAGTTCACACGCGGAGTACGATGAAATGAACACGTTAGGTAGCAGAGGCAGTGATGTCTCGACTAAAAAATAATGGGATCGGTGGCAGTTCGTGATTTGTTCAAACAGATTTACGTTGTGCAAGAAATATAAATTTTACTTGTTTCTGGAGTAACAGTTACGCAAAAATAATTTTTCAGATGATTTTGAATAACAGCCTTATAAGACTTGATTGATATTTCTAGCGAATTCACAAAGTTGTTAAAATATATTAATGATATGTGACACATTATTAGCAAGAGGATGGACTAGAGAACTTTTGAGGGAGTTGGAAGATCCTGATCGCTTTTGGTTTTTTTTTGTAGCTATGTAAAGTCACAGCTTTAATTTGAGTTTTACATATTTCGAAACTTTGCGAGTGAATTAAAAAAAAACTAGATGACTTATGTCACTAGTTATGTATTTAAAAGTACTCTAACACAATACACATCTGAATAAAATTAAAATCCAGAGTGTACACCTTATACTTTTTTCAAAATTTGAATTTGAATATGGAATTTGGGTCTTTTTTGATAAACAGATAAAGAGACGATTAAAAATAATCCACAGGGCATGAAAGGTGTTAACTAGTCTTGAAGGATAGCATTCATTAGTCATTAGACCATTTCAATTTGGCACACGATGCACCAAACACCCTGTATATTATGCTGTCATGGTTATGGCTACTAGATTTTGATTAGGATTGAAAAGAAGTACGTTCATAGTGACAATAAGTGTGTATTTCAGTTTCACAGAACTATAATGATTGAAATATAAAGCTAGTGGTGAAAAAATGTGATATTCACCATGGTAGTAATAGTTATATATACACCAAGGTCATTATTACCCATCAGGGACCAAGATTATATCCAGAGGCTTCCGCCGAGGGGTATAAGGTCTCGTGGTAATGATATTCTTTATTACCAAGGTGTATATTCCATTTTTTCACCACTAGCAATCACTATAGTTCTGTGAAACTGAAATATGGACCTATTGTCATCATGAAGGCACTTTTTTTCAATTCTAATCGAAATCTAGTAGCCATGATCATGAAAGCATATGACAAGTGGCTATTGATAAATACCTACTAGATTTGAATGCAATTCTTGCGAATCTCGCATCAGAAGAGCGAATTCGGGTTGATCATAACAGAGGTGGCTTTGTCTTTATTGACTAGTAGTTCATGAAATGAGTAAATAATCGTTGGTTATATACCTAATGTTGGAAAAAGAATATTATCACCACGGGATCTTATACCACTCGGCTGAAGCCTCGGGTAATAATGATATTCTTTACGACCTTGGTGTGTACATAACTTTTTCTCACCACTAGCAATATATTTTATTCATCGTTTGATAATTACGGTCCTACTGGTATTTGGGACACGAAGTGCTTTCCATTTGAAATAAAAAAGTTGGGTGCAATAGATTTCAACAACCATTTTTGTGATACATACTTCTTGAGTTCAACAACTGTTTCTCTATAAAATGCATAGTTTTCTGAATAACTCTTGATGGTAACGTGTTCAACTCATTCTGTACTATTAATAAAAATGATGCGTGAGCTCAAAGTACAAAAAATATACAGGTTTACCTCATGGTAGCTACTCCCACATATTTCTGAAAATGCACGCGTTCTCTCTATTTTCGGCAGCTTCACTTTCACTTGAATCGAAATCAACAGAAGGAAATTAATTATCAACAAGACCTTATTCATCAGTTATAAAAGCGATTAGTTTATGCATGTAGTGCTTCTTAGTCATAAACTTAGCCTACGTAAATGATCCATGCCATTGACTCATAATATGAATGTATAGGTTCACAGAGGATTGTAGGAGGGATGACAAATTATAGACAAATTTGAATGATTTATTGAATAATTACAGCTGTGTATCAATAAATATTATAATTTTGAATTGACTCGGGTGTTACTTGAGGGAAATTCATAGTAAATGTGAAAACTTCACAAACGGAGTGAAGTTTTTACATTTGAATATTATAATGATTGTTTACCTCATATCTACATATTTACCGTTTCTTGAAGTTTCTTATAATTTCATTGAAGAATCGAAAATAGTTAATGAACGGGTTGAGTGTCAAACCCTGTATGTTGGAAACTGGGATAAAATCGTTAAAACGTACACTCCATCTTATTTTTTCAAATTTTTCCATCCCCTTTCTTTTATTTCTTTTCCTCAAGGCAACACTAGGTAGGTAGCAGATAATTTCTCTTCCAGCTTTATATACAGATCAACCAACGAAAATGTGACATCCCCTGTAACTAGAAAACCGAATCCTTTATCAGAAATCGCCGGGACAAGTCGATTTTATTTACTTGTGAGGGGCATTTTTTACAGTTGAATGACCTTGATGTGTTCACCCCCCTAACCTCTAGCAACCCTACAGATACAGGGTGATCAGAATTCAGAATCTTGAAGCACCCTGTAATTTTTTCAATTAAATTCCAGTAGATAGTGAATCAAAAGTTAAGATAGGGACATGTAAGACGTTTTGATCGATGATGAATAGTTTCGACACAAAAAAATCCCAAAATTGAAAATTCTCGATTTTGAACACCCTATATCTCTGTAATCATTCCTACTAGACGCCAAGTTTGATACATTGATGAAATCAGCTCTTCAGGAAGAATACAAAAATGCAATGAAATACAGGGTGTTCCATTGAAATAACAAAGTTGCCAGTTGTTTCTGATAGAAGTGGCAACACTGTATCGATGAAAATATTTTAGACGGATAGAGAATGTTCAATTATCAAAGCATCCCAATTTTCAGAATGTTCTGTTTTTTCGTTCTCCAGATACTTCTAATAGGCCATCCACCGTGGATCACCCTGTATATAATAATTAATTATTTTCAAGAGGAGGGAATCATACCCGAGAAAAACTGAAAAATTCGCATGTGCTTCCTCCTGCAAAACCATGTATTTACAAACAGCAATATTATTAAACTTGAAAAGCATTCCATTTTTTCCCGGGTGTAACAATCTAAACGCTTGCCAACAATAGCACGCGCTTCAAGACTGCTTATTTTTTCCCTTCATCCAATTAAAAACACAACAAATTCAGTCAGTGACACGTTGCTATTGCACTTGGCCGATCGAGCCCTGCGAAAACCGAAATTAATTACGAAACATATTTAGCTACAAGCTATCCAGCAATCATTGGCAACAGATAACGTCTATCGCTACGTTCGCAGAGGTGACCAAACAATCGCGACGAAAATTTCGAATTCATCGCCAAATATGCCAGGTAAATATAGAATTCCTTGGTAACGCGCGATGGGTTTGCTCCTGTCAGTCCTAGTGGCGTGCGTCGGCGTCATAGAACTCATCGCCTTCTTCCACAACGTGCAAAGACACCTGGTATGGCCTCCAATCCGCGCGGACCTGACACCCATTGGCCTGCGGTACGCGGGCGAGCTAAAAAACGCCAGGCGACGGATACTAGGTGACCTTCAGAGCCTGCAGGAGGCAGGCACCTCTTCCAGCGTCCCCACTTTGAAGATCAACAGTCACGAAGACATAGAATTGGAATATGGTGAGGATGTGACACGTTCTAGGAGTCCTAGCCCCAGAAGGTTCCTAGTTACCGAGAAAGAGGTGGTTACTAAGAGAGATAACTCCCCTAGACGCTTCGTGGTATCTGAAGAGGCTGATGGCACTTTGAGGAAGTCCAAGTCTCGGGATTCCATTCCGGAGTTTCTAATAAAGGAGGAGAAGAACCTCGATAAAGCCCTCAACAAGCCAAGGTACGTGTTGAGGGAGCAACAAGGAAGCTCAGAGTCTCCTATACCTCTTCCTAGGCAGTTCATAGTCACTGAGGACGAGCTGAACACCGTGCTGTTCGAAGATTCAGACTTCGAGGTTCCTAGGCGGTCTGCTTCTCCATATCCTCTCTTGGAGCTGCCTCACGTGCCGAGGAACAGCGTTTGCGAGGTGGCTGACATTGCGGAGGAGGATGAAGACGTTTGCAGGTCCATTTCTCCTGTGCCTAGCGGTAAGATTGATGTCATTTTGCGCAGCACCAGTCACGACACCACGGAGTATTGGACTAATAAGGTGCTGGTGGAGCCACCTGGTGGTCGGAATTCTAAATTGCGATCTCAGCGGGTGAGGTCCAAGTCTGAACATGTTGGGGAAACGCTAATGGTTGATGAGCAGTATTTGGATAGCCTGGATGGTGTGGATAAAGTTAAGAGTGTGCAGAAGTGTGGGGGTTCCAGAAGATCATTCAAGAAGAAAAATAGTACAGGTATGCTCTGGCGAAGACTTTTCTAAGTTTGGTGAGTTGTAAATGGAGGTATGGTCATCATTGTTTTCTTTCTAGAGAACAAAGCGTCTAAGGTTCAAGACAACTGTGATGATCAATCAACTACATCTGTTTTGACTCATGCAGCTGAGGAGTTGAGGAAGGTTTCCTTATCGGGAAATAAATCGGCATTGGAATGCAGTGAAGGAGTAGAGGAAAAACCTGGAGAGCCGTTTTGGGTAAAGAAGTGAAGTTTTATAATAATTAGAGACATTATACATTTATTTTTGTTTATTTTCGCAGTAGTAGTAGTTTAGTTTGCTTTCAAGTTGTTGATTTTTGATTTCAATATACTCAGTGCTTTGTGTGTTTCTCTTTCCTGGTTGATATCCATGGTATTTGGACACCATCTGATATTATGTTTTCATTAAATCTATATTCAAGTTTGGAAATATGTGGACCAAGCTGCATGTTGAAATGTTCCTGTTATTGATAGGTTGATAATATTTTTCTTTAGTCAGAAACCACCTTCAATGGACATGATGAACTACTCTCCTCCAATGCATGTAATAGGTATCTACTATCTGAAATTATTGTGGTCATACTTTTGCCATCGAAAACTATTGTATTTGAAATTAATTGAAAGAATATGATTCAACAATATTCTGTATATTTCATCAAACATATAGGAATCAGAGAAGTAATAAAAACACTTTCATTTGTTTCTATGGGCAAAACTTGAAAAGGTGAAAGCAGTGTCACTTCATAACTTGGCACCCGGTACACCATTGTCAAACATTATTCAATATTATATAAGGAATACTATCTATAAAACGTCAAAAATACTGTATGTATATTCTAAAATGACTTGCTTATTGTTAAAAAGTGTTAAACAGACCTATTATGTTTTACTACTGAGTGAATAATGTCTAATATTTGGTGTGTGGCATAATCAATATTTAATAAAATGAGTAATTGTATGTACAGGGTGGTTGGAATTCGAGCATCATCATCGGAATCTTGTAAACCGTAATGGATAAATCATGGCAAAGCTAGACAATTTTATGCCTGACAATATGCCGTTTTGAAACTTGGAAGATTCCGAATATACGAAAAAAAAAACGAAATGAATGACACTCTATCATTGCCACGTTTTCTTCCCTACAAGTTGCCGTTTTTAAATGCGAAATCCGATGTTCCGTCTTCCAGAAACCATTATTAACTTATTATCTTCTTCAAATACGAACCTGAATTTTATATTTCATATTTTCACACTTCCCGATATCCCAAATGCTATGATCTATCACAAATTTTAATTTTCGAATGTCAAAGATTCACTTTTTTTATGTTCTGGTTCCTACGAAAAGGGATATCCTGTAATGTTCAGAGAACATCGTGAGAACCAAGGAAAATAAGGTAGAAATTGGTGTTCTTCTTAAATTTCTGGAGGTCAAATACCTCGGGGAACCCCTCCCTTGGCAATGTGTTCCAGAGCCACTCACTTGATTATTTGGGATTTTCAATAAGAATATGAGTATAATTTCAATAGATGTGTAGTATGACAAATCAGATGATTTATCCCAGAATGTCACTACGTTACGTTCAGCAAATTTTTCTATCAGGAAGCCAAAAGGGAACATCCAATAACTTGTATTGGGAACGAATCTGCTCTCGTTTTCAACATGAAAAATGTAAAATATTATCCTTTGAAAATTGTCTTCGTTTATTTTGACACTCAGTGACAGACTGATGTTGGCATTTCATATGTTAGTATACAGATGAGTTACAGGATGTTTTCATTAATTGATCTTGAATCTAACATGTCCATGTTCAGTTCATAAAACTGTTCAACTTTGCTATAATTTAACTAACCCTCTGTATCTCTTAGAGTTCACGAGATCCCAATGATTTAGCTTGAATTCCAGCCACCATGTACACAAAAATTTATGGAATACCATCCAAATATTATGTGTTATAGATCTTCTACTTCCAATTGTTTTGTCCAAATCATCTGAAAAATTTACCTGATATTTTTATTTTACTCAAGTCTTCTGAAGTATCCAGTTTGAAATTAGGACTGCGATTCGATTTTTATTCTGAACACGCAGTTACGTCAGCATCAGAAGATAAAAAATACGTCTTCATTATGATCGAAACATTAATCGTCCGATTGAATCCTTAATGGAGTTGAAAACATTTTTCACTGTCAATTTACTTCAAACGCTAGGCTCATCAATTTCACTCTTCACACAATTTATTGCTGATTTCTTCAATAGTCGGCCTCAATCAGTTAGTTACAAGATTCTATTCAATGAAATCCTATAACTGCTTATAGAAATATTCAAGCCACTAAATGTATTCTATTGAATGTGGAAACAAGTGGAAAGTTAACGTTTTCAACGTGAAGAGGAAAACATGGTAATTTAAATCATAATTTCATTAATTTCGTATTGATACACAAAAACAAAATTTTGTTTGAATCTACAAAATTTTTGTAAATTCAACAAAATCTGAGTGTCATATATCCACGACAAAATATTTTGTCACCGCAACAAATGTTTTCTGTCGGTTTTCAATTCAAAATGCATCTGATTGAAGCAGGAATTGGTTGAATAAAGAAAGACTATTTTGTTCCTAATAATACAATATCCTTCTCTTATGAACGATTCTGTTGATTGAAATGATTATATCATTTCATTCAAGTGACAAAATTTTCAGTTTTTCTGAGAGTGAATATGTTAACATAACAAAATATATTCTTCGATCAACAAAATTGTATTTAGAATTGATAAAATATTTTGCTGAATAACAAAAAAGAAATTCAATAACTAAATTTCAAGACTGAGAGAAATTAGAGATCAATTTCCTCAGTTGATTCCAGACTATTAGCTTGTATAAGCGTCATAAGAAATTGTAGGACAGCCGTATATAATTATATGAAGGGAAGTTTTAGGTAGGTATATGTACACCCCAATCGAGGCGAGCGTAGGAAGGTTGGAAGAAACGCCACCTGGTGGCAAAAATGCAACTAGATAATCATCCAACAAAATATTTGTTTGATATAATGTTCTTGTGGGTTCCGTTCAACAAACTAATTTGATTGAAATAACAACATATTTCTTGATAGTGAAGTGTTGAATCAACAAAATATAATGTTGTCATAATCAATTCAAGTTTGTCGAATAGAAGAAAACCTTTGATTGGTTGCACAATGAAATGATTGTTGACTCAACAAAATATGATGTTGTATTCAGTTAAATATTTGTTAAAATTAATGTAATTTTGTCGAATAGACAAAATGCATATGATTGATTGAACAATGAGATAATAGTTGGATCAACAAAGTTTGTTTTATGTCAACTATAAATGTTGTTGAATGAAATGAAACTTTTGTTCAAGTAAGCGAATATTTCAACCAAATTATTTTGTCTCTTTGAATAGGTTGCTTATTTGGAATGAATATATATTCTGTTGATTCCGCAAAAACGTGTTCAATTTAACAAAGAAAAAATGACCAAAATTATTTTGTTGGTGCAACAAAACTTTTTTTCCGTGTATGCATGTAACATCTAGAGGGTGCTGCGTACGATGTCATTTATTTCAAATTGCCCTTACATTTTTGACAATGAACTTTTGGCTCTTCATGAAAGAACCTCCTATTCCCACACCTCCTTCGAGATATTTACAATTTTCTATGTCGATAAAATTACAAAAACTAAGTATGTTGTAGGTCTCGTCAGATAATAAACTAATTTTTTCCTATGAAATGTGCATGGAAATCTAGAAATGAATTAATTGTTTTCGAGATACACATGATTGAAATTTTATGATTTACCACGGCGAAAAAGACCCAGGTACATAATTTCGTGCAAATAACTTATTTTCGCAAATGTCATTTTTAAAAAGCAAAAAAAAAATCAAATTCATCAACCTGTATCTCCGATACGAAGCATATTCGTAAAGAAGTTTATACAGGGTGTTTCATAATTGAATGCTGATCCTTAAGGGCGATAATCCTTGGATGATTTCAAAGAGAAAAGTTCATATCAACATATGTCCTAAACCTCTTAGTTATTGAGCTACAGGGTGATGAAATTTCAAGAAAGAAATGAGTTTTTCATCATAATTTTTTTTCACTCTTAGATATTGTTATGATATTTTGTATACACCTTTTCATCATTAAGGAGCATTTTTTTACGTGAAAGATATTTAAAAATCCTCACCAGTGGCGTCCGTACGGGGTTTGAACTGACAATTTTTGAAGGAAAAAATAGTACGCCACTGATTTTTCTGAGGACCAGATTTTTTTTCAATTCTTATTCATTTTGGAGCAAATTTGGTTCTCAGACTTACTTTCATGCAACGTACCGTTTTCGCGTAATAAAATAAAAACCAAAGAATTTTGTTCCTTCAGTTCTTGGATATTGTTTTTGGTAATTCAGTAGACACCCACTATAAGTGGAAACACATTTTGTTTTGGAACGAAAATCAAACTTTCACTTTTACCAGTGATGTCCTCGTAGACCTGATATTGAATGTTTTGTTTAAAAAACGCTGTACGCTTCTGATTTCAACACCCTGTAGCTCAAAAACTAAGAGGTTCAGGACATATGTTGATATGAACTTCTCTCCTTGAAATCATCCAAGGATCATCGCCCTTTAGGATCAGCATTCAATTATGAAACACCCTGTATATAGACTCTTTTTTCAATTGTCTCAGGAATTAATGCGTCATTTGAATATTTTAACGTACTTATGTTACACCTTGTATAGTACAAGAGCTCGTGAACCCTTTATACAGTGTGATGCACATTTTTTCCGAGAAATTCAAGTGTCGGCTGATGAGGCCTGGTGGGCCGAAACAGTACTATCTCGCTCTTGCTGACAACTTCATTAATCCTAGATCTAGTTCTCTGAATATGATTTTGATGTTAAAATTCATCAACCTCTATATTAGATATACAAGAGGTCTCGTTATGGACGATTTTTCATTTTCATATGAGTGCTTTCTTACTATTATACAATTTAATTGAAAGGATCTCATGATATATTATATTCCTCTTGGTGCGAGAGATCGCTTTGATTGTTGCTGAATTTTAAAATAAACAAATAAATAATATTGTTAGGATAAATTTAGCCTAGACAGAAATAGGAGAGTGGTGGCATATGGGAACTTTGCCAGTCGAGCACCATGCACTTGATTATGTGTTTTTTGGCTTCACTTATGTCAAGTTATTTT